AAAAAAAAAAAAAAAGTCAAAGGTTTGGTTAAATAGGCCTACATGTGTGTATTAGACTAGATTTCTATTACCAACCTATGTACCTCCACCATCATTCTGGTAAAACCCAATAAACTCAGTTACCAGCCTCCTTCATCTACTTCATCTACTCTGTCTACTTACACATGGGATAAGTATGACCTTTCCTATCCAAATACATTTAGATCTTTTAAGTCACATTTAAATATCAATTGACCCTAGTCCTTGGTCCTACATAGCATTTTTAGTAAAATGCTAACTAGTGTCTCTGTACTGCAAGAAAGAGAAAGGATTCTACAGATCATACCTAGCGCAAATTATCCCTCCCAACATGCTGCATAAATTCCCTGTTTTACATCTGTTGGCCCCCACCCTTTGCAACCAAGTGATTACTAAACCATTGTTTAAATACTTTACTAAGAAAAGTTATTACCTTTTACTTTGAAATAATTCTAGTTGTTTAGAAGTTTCTAGGTTGAGCCCAAATCTATCTTCCTCTAACTTCTACCCAAGGATTATAGTTCTGCCTTCTGGGACCATTGAGACTTGTCTCTCTTCACAAAGATACCCCTTAAAACAGATACCCCTTTATTTATTTTTGTTTTGTTTTTCTTTTCTTTTTTTTTCAAAAATATGGAACGCTTCACAAATTTGCGTGTCATCCTTGTGCAGGGGTCATGCTAATCTTCTCTGTATTGTTCCAATTTTAGTATATGTGCTACCAAAGTGAGCACCAGGTATGCTTTTATGTTGTAGTTTATTTTTTTATTTTTTTATTTTTTTGGCCGGGGCTGGGTTTGAACCCACCACCTCTGGTATATGAGACCAGCGTCCTACACCTTGAGCCACAGGCGCCACCCCAGATACCCCTTTAAACCTCATTGAATTTCCTATTCTTTGGATCAAGAAAACTCTTCTCCCCCAAATATATTAGATCCTTAGTGTAGTCATACTTATATTAGTTTTTTCACAGGCCAGAGACATTTTTAACCCATCATTCATCACTCATAATAATAACTACAATCCATTTTGTACCTTATATTTTTATATTTTAATTATTATGTGCACATAACAGTTGCATATATGTCTTTGTAGGGTACATGTGGTATTTTGACATAGACATAAAATCAAATCAGAGTAACTGAGGTATCCATTACCTCAAGCATTTATCATTTCTTTGTGTTAGGAACATTCCAGTTCCACTTGTCTAGTTATTTTAAAGTATACCCTAACTTCTTGTTGATTAATATTTCTTTCTTGTGCTATCATATATTGTTTATTTAACTATATTTTTGCATCCATTAACCAGCCCCACTTTTTACCCCTCCCTACCCTTCCCAGCCTCTGGTGATCATCAGTCTACTTTCTATCTCCATGAGGTCAGTTGTTTTAGTTCCCTGTTTGAGTGAGAACATGTGATATTTGTCTTTCTGTACTTGGTTTATTTCACTTCACATTATATTCTCCACTTCCAATCATATTATTGCACATGGCAGGATTTCATGCTTTTTATGGCTGCATAATACTCCATTGTGCATACATACCATAATTTCATTATCCATTCATCCACTGACAGACTCTTAGGTTGATTCCAAATCTTGGCTGTTGTGAATAGTGCTGCAATAAACATGGGAGTGCAGGTAATCTTTTCAATATACTGATTTTCTTTCTTTTCAATGTATACCTAGCAGTAGGATTGTTGTGAGGAACCTCCACACTGTTCTCTATAGTGGTGCACTAATTTACATTCCCACCAACAGTGTACAAGGCTTCTAGTTTCCCCACATCCTCACCAGCATTCGTTATTGCCTGTCTTTTTGATTAAAAGCCATTTTAACTGGGGTGAGAGGATATCTCATTGTAGTTTTGATTTGTGTTTCTCTGGTGACTAATGTGCATTTTTCATATACCTATGGGCCATTTCTATACCTTCTTTGAGAAATGTCTATTAGATCTTTAGCCTGATTATTTGTTTGGTTTTTGACAAGGTCTCACTCTGTCACTAGGACTAGAGTGCAATGGCATCATTATAGCTCAAACTCTTGGGCTCAGGGGATGCTCCTGCTTTAAACTCCTGCTTTAACCACCATGCCTGGCCAACTTTTTCTATTTTTTGTAGAGACAGGGTCTCCCTGTTGCTCAGGATGGTTTCAAACCCCTGGCCTCAAAGCACTTTACATAAATTTTTTAATATAATCCTTTTAACAAACCTAAAAGGTTATTATTGTTATACCACTTTTCAGATGAGGAATTGAAATTGAGGGAATTGAAGTCTAAAATAACAAAGCTCTCAGGTGGCAGAGAATAGATTTAAACCAAGATCTACCCAAGTTCAAACTCAATGCCCTTTACCATTATGCTATACTGTTTTCTGTTTCTTTTTTCAGATTTTAGAGGGCAAGACAATAAAAGGATGTATCAGTGTGGAGCCTTACATACTGGGAGAATTTGTAAAATTATCAAATAACACAAAAGTGGTGAAAACAGAATACAAAGCCACAGAATATGGCTTGGCTTATGGTCATTTTTCCTATGAATTTTCTAATCACAGAGATGTTGTGGTTGATTTGCAAGGTATGTAAAACTGGGAATTAGTTTTTATTTTTAATATGACTTATGTGTAAGTGTGACATTTTGTAACTAGTTTCATTAGTCATTATTGAATAGATTGTTCAGTGTATGGGCTACTATTTAGAATTAAATTAATTATATAGCAAATGACTCTTGAAATAAAAAAAAAAAATCTAAAACTTCTACACCCTGTCTAAGGTGTCTCATACTTGGTGAGATTCTGGCTCATATTTTGTAGGGCTTAATTTCACAGCAAATCCGTAAGAGCTTCTTTTATTATTATTTCATTGCATTTTTCCATCTCCTTTCCATTTTTCTTTCTTTCTTTTTTTTTTTTTTTTTTTTTTTTTGAGAGCTCTGACACTTAAACTGGGATGCAGTGGCATCATCATAGCTCACTGCAATCTCAAACTCCTTAGCTCAAGCAATCCTCCTGCCTCAGCCTTCCAAGTAGCTGGGACCACAGAAACATTCTGCCACACCAGCTAATTTTTCTATCTTAGGTAAAGACAAGGTCTCACTGTTGCTCAGACTGGTCTTAAAATCCTGACCTCAACTCATCCTCCTGCCTTGGCCTCTCAGAGTCCTGAGATTACACTCATGAGCCACTGTGCCTGGCCCACTTTTCCTTCTCTTCATCTCTTACCCTTATTGAAAATGTGATGCTGGGTTTTATAATTGGAATCATTTTGGAACATAAAGCTGAGTGTCCTTGAATCTGACTTCTTTTATCATCTACATTAATATTTTAATTTTGTTTTAGTTTGGCATTTTGTTCATCAGAATTCTTGTTGGTGAATACTGTACACTTCATGTTAATGACAAATGACATTTAGTATCATTATTTCTAGTAATGACTCCATGACCACCAGAAGACCTCTCTTCTGTCATGTATTATATATATTTATGGGTTTTGATCTGTCCTACTTCATAAGAATGTTAGTGTAATGAGTACATTTTGAGTAGCTTTTTCACTTCTGTATCCCCGGTGTCTAAAATAGTGTTTTGTACAGTGGCTGCACTCAATAAATATTTATTGAACAGAGTAATGTATGAATTAATGAGCAAGGCACTAAAGAAAATTCTGAAAAATCATGAAAGAAATATTCAAGATTATGATTTTAATAATTATTCTAAGCACATTTTTTTTTTACTCTCTTAATTCCTTGAATAGTGGTGATCTGGGTATCATATTTGACAAATATAATTATGCAATATTTAATTCTTCTTTTTAAACCAGTTATTGGAATATGTAACTCAAATTCCCTAGCAGAAATTAGCTAAAGATATAAGCCACAGGATGACCAAGTTCTTAAATTATCTCTTTAAGTATGTGTGTGTGTTTGAAAAAAACACCCAACTGACATTTACAGAGGACTTAATAGTCATGCGTATTCATTTCTCTTTTAGGTTGGGTAACTGGAAATGGAAAAGGGCTCATCTACCTGACAGATCCCCAGATTCACTCTGTTGATCAGAAAGATGTCACTACCAATTTTGGAAAGAGAGGAATTTTTTACTTCTTTAATAACCAGCATATGAAATGCAATGAAATATGCCATCGCCTTTCTTTGACTAGACCTTCAATAAAGAAACCAAACAAATCATAAACAAATCAAATATGGATGGTAATGCAGTCTCCTTCCAGGCACACAAAATATGGCGCAGCCTGGTCCTTTGGGACTTGGGGGAGGCTGAGGCACTGGTTCTGGCCAATGATTTGTGAAAGGAATTGATGAATGTCACTTTCAGGCCTGCATTTAATTGCCAGAATAATCCTGTGGATTCTCTCTTCCTCTGCCACAGTTACCAAGAACGTGTCAGGAGGTATCTGCTTTTGAGTTTAAGTCCTGCAGTAAAGGTACCATGGAAGAGAGCTCCAAGTGACCCAGGGTAGAGACAAAGCACTGCTAAGAAAAAAAAAAACTTTTGTTGTTTAACCCATTGCAATTTGGGAGCTTTCTGTCACTATCAAGACTGATACCATTAGTGCTTTGCCTATAGATTTAGGAAATCTTTATCTATTAAAGAATTCAAGTCTTTGTGGTATGAATTTCAATTTTTTATACAGTTGAATTCATCGATCTTTTATTTTATGGCTTCTTGGTTATGTATGATATTTAGATCTTCTCTGTATTCTGAGTTTCTTTCTTTTTAATTCTCTTATATTTTCTTCTAGTATATTTAAATCTCTGAAAGGTATGATGGAAGAATGGCATGTTTTCATGGCCATCACAGTCCATCCCTTCCCCCAAACAGATCGACTTCCTCACGGGAACAGCCCTGCATGGTCTTGCTAAAAGAAACACACAGAGGAAGACTGGTGAAATAGAACAGTTCCTTTCCACAATGACTCTTTGGAGCTACAACTGGTGCTCTCTGTCATCCACCTCCTCTGTTCCTTCTGAATTTCCCTCACCTTCAACTATTCCCTCAGGAAGGCTTAATGCTTACCTAGTGGTGGAACTCACACTTAGGTTCATGAAGAGTCTCAACTTGATAATTACACCCTTCTCAGTTTGGGGTTGCCACACATGCCTCTTCATGATTGAAGCTGGGGAAAGGAGACCCATTCCAGTCTCCTCTGTGGGAAACATGGGTGGCTGATAACCCCAGCTTCTACCCCCCGGATCCATCACTCTGTTTACACTGAAGCCATATTCCTTGCAGTGTGCTCTCAGCCAGTGACTAAGCATGGCAAAGACGATAGTCACAGATTGCTTCTGACAGTTGACTGTGGCAGTCTTCCCACTGGCCTGACCAAAACTTGCTTACAACTGTGTAGTCCAAGACTCCTCCTGCCCAATTTTGCTTGCTTTGCTCTCTCTTTTTGTAGTGTCAGACCTCTATCATGGCCCCCCTTCTCACTCTTATTCCCTCCTGTTGATCCTTCACAGTCATTTTCCCCAGGGGCGATCTTGCATGTCTAATCCTTTCCCTGCATCTACATTTTGGAGAACACAAGTTTACTAAAGAAACGGGGAAAAAATGTAATCTATCCTATTAACAAAATAAGGGGAGAAAATTGTGTAATCTCAAAAGATACAGAAAATCATTTAATAAAATTCATAATCCAGTTCATCGTCAAAAAGAAAAAAGCTCTTTGAAAACTAGGCATAAAGGAAAACATTCTACATTGGATAAAGGGGTTTTTGTAAGCTTATTTTGAAAATCAATAATGCAATAGTTAATTCTAGCAGTGCCTGTGGCTCAAAAGAGTAGGGTACTGGCCCCATATGCTGCAGGTGGTGGGTTCAAACCCATCCCTGGCCAAAAAATAATAATAATAATTCTATTCAATGTTATAGAACAATTCTAACTAATAAACATAGAAGGAATGATAGAACTAGAAAATCATGATTTTGTATCCTTTAATGAAATAATGAAACTGGGCAAAAAGGCATTGATGGTTGCTAAAACTATCAGGATACAAGTTGATGGGGAACTTTATAATAGAGGAAACCAGGTGATGGCTACTTACACCTCAGTCTTGTCACTAAAAGTGGAACAATAAATTAGTGGTAAAATAACACTTTTGAGGCATTTAGGGATTATGACTATGGACTAGGTGTTAGATAAAATGATGACGTGATGGGTTAATGCTATAGAGAATAATAATAATAAAAGCAGGTATCTAAATGAAAGAAGCTTGGATCCTTTGTGTTAATGCTGAAGCAGGGAGAGAGGTACATGGGGATTCATCACACCAGTCTTTCTACTTGTGTATATATTTTTAAATGTCCACAAAAAAAAGTTCTTAGGTATAACATCATAGAAAGGAAGGAATACAAAGGAAAGTCTAAAGAATGAGTAAATAGAGATGATGGAAACCAAGGCTTGTATCAAACAAATTATGGAAGAACATAAGGAGGAGTGGTCAACAATGTAAAGTACTGCAGAAAAATCAAGAATAGAAGAATAGAAATCAAAATAGAAGAATGTTTATTGAGTAAGAGACTAAGGACAAAGATAAAAGACCACTGGCAGCAAAAGAGGCCATTATTGGTCATTGACAGAGTGACCTTTTAGATGTTGCAGAACAGGGATTAGCAAACCATGGTCCATGGGTCAAAGCCACTGTCACCTGTTTTAGTAAATAAAGTTGTATTAAAACACAGTCACCCATTCAGTTATGTATTATCTATAGCTGTTTTTGTGTTACAGTAGCAGAGTTGAGTACTTGTGACATATAGACTGTACGCTGCAAAGTTAAAATATTTACTCTGTAGGCCTTCACAGAAAAAGGTTGCCAACCCCTGTTATAGAAGATGAAATCAGAAGTAGAGGTCAGAATGTTTGCATTCAGAAAGGAATATGGATATCTTATCAACACAAAAGGAGGTAAAAACAATGGATGAAGAAACTGGAAATTGAGTGTGATGGAGAAGTTAAGTTGGTGGAAAGCACACATCAGAACACATTTCTTGCTTGGCGCCTGTGGCACAGTGGCTAAGGCGCCAGCCACATACACCTAAGGTGGCGGGTTCAAATCCAGCCCGGGCCCGCCAAACAACAATGACGGTTGCAACCAAAAAATAGCCAGGCATTGTGGCGGGCGCCTGTAGTCCCAGCTACTTGGGAGGCAAAGGCAGGAGACTCGCTTGAGCCCAGGAGTTGGAGGTTGCTGTGAGCTGTGATGCCATGGCAGTACAGCTTGAGGCTCTGTCTCCAAAAAAAAAAAAAAAAAAAAAAATTTGATCATGTCAGGTGGCGCCTGTGGCTCAAGGAGTAGGGCACTGGCCCCATATACCAGGAGTGGTGGGGGTGGGGAGGTGATGGGTTTGAACCTGGCCCTGGCCAAAACTACAAAAAAAAAAAAGCTAGAATGTCTGCTAAGTGAGATGAGACTGCTAAATCAGGAATGTTAGAGGAGTAAAGATTTTGTAGCAATGCATGACTCTGTATTATAAAGGCAGAAATTGTACTGTGAGAGGAATTTCCAAGATGTTATTTTTTTTAATCTCTTTAAAATTTTATTTATGTCAACACCCATATACTGCACATCTAGTTTAAGGAATTAAATGTAATACCATTGTTGAAGCCTCCAAGAGACCTCTGATCTCTACTTCACCTTCAGTCCAAGCTCTGCCCAGAAATTGGTTATCATCCCCCTTAATGTTGTTATACATTTACTTTTATTTAATGTTGTTATGTACTTCTATGTTGTATAAATGTAACAATAAATATCCAGTATTCTTTAAAAAATATTTTAAGGTTTATAGAAATAGTAATGTAAAAAAGACCAGACAGGTTTAAAAAGAATCTAATTGATTTTCTAGAAAATGAAAACTACAGTCATACAGCAGATTAGGTGTAGTTCAAGAAAGAATTCTTGAAATGAAAGGAAGAGATAAAGAAATTAGCCAAAATGCAGCAGGAAGGTAAAGGATTAGAAAATAAAAAAAGAGATAGTAAGAGATACGTAGGAAAGAAATTCCAACATCATCTAGTGGGAGGGGGTTCTGGAGGTGGAAAAAAAGAAAGAAGGGGAGAGAATCCTCTGAGTCAAGCGCAGAACATGAATCAAGAATGGAATGATAAATTCTGTCACATGCTGCTGATAGATAAGTAAGATGAGGACTGTGAAATAAAATGTTGAATTTAGCCATGTGGAGTTCACCCGGTGACCTTAATAAGGGCAGATATAGTCGAACACCGGTGATGAAAGTCTGAATGGAAAGGAGTATTAGTTTTCCATTGCTGTCTATGTCGACTTTAGCAGCTTAAAACAACACACATTTATTATCTCACGGTTTTTGTGAGTCAGGAGTTAGGCCCAGGTTAGCCGGCCTCAGAGTCTCACAGGGCTACAATCAAGGTATTAGCCAGACTATGTTCTCATCTGGAGGCTTCACAAGGGAAGAATCTACCTCTAAGATCTTCAGGTTGCTGCAGAATCCATCTATATAGAAAAAAATAATATATAATGCACTGAAATATTGTTAGTGTTTTTCCCTAGTAAACTTGTGGGAGTGGATTTTATTTTCTTCTTTATCATTGATGTTTTCTACATTGTCTGCAATAAAATATATTTTTAAAAGTAGTATTTAAAAAGAAATCCAAATTATTATTTTCCAGTAAAAGCCCACATTATTAGCTGGGCATACGGGCTTTTTCCTTAGCTTATTACTTCCTAATCTTGCAGTTTACTTTCTAGTAATATTAAATTGTTTATGGTTTTAATTTATAGACCATCCCACCTCCCACCCCACTATAAGATGCTTCATCACTTAGTGACTGTTTTCCTGCTTTTTTTATACTCACCAGAAATTTACGACATCTTCTCATTCTTGGAGAGTTGCCTCAACCAACACATTCTTCAAGAAATTTCCCTGACATCCAGGTCAGGCGCTGTGGCTCATGCCTGTAATCCTAGCACTTTGGGAGGCTGAGGTGGGTGGATAGCTTGAGTTCAGGAGTTTGTGACCAGCCTGAACTCTAGAGCAAGATGTCTCTACTAAAAATAGAAAAACTAACTGTGCACTGTGGCAGGTGCCTATAGTCCTATAGCTACTTGGGAATCTGAGGCAAGAGAATCTCTTGAGCCCAAGAGTTTGAGGTTGTTGTGAGCTATGACATTATGGTGCTCTATCCAGGGCAAGAGAGTGAGACTCTGTCTCAAAAAAATAAAAAGAAAAAGAAAGAAAAGAAATCTTTCCTGACATCCTTTATTCTTTACCACCTCCCCACCAAAACCCCAGCAAGGTACCTCGCCTTAGATCCTCAAATTCCCCTGGGCAACTATCATTACACAGTTACCGGGGAGCTAATATATAAGTGTGTCGTATTATCTATATTGTAATTAAATTATCATTATCTTTTGTATTATTTACCTATTGCTGAATGACTGATTACCCCTAAAACATAGAGGCTTAGAACAACACTTTTGAATTACTTCAAGTTACTATAGATCA